TTGAGTTATCGTAATTTACATCCTTCTAAATGTTTTATCAGGGTCTATGTGGAGGCGGGATTCAAACCTTTTGGAGAAGAGTAACTACTAAATGGTGTACTTTTTCTTTGGTGTCATTAAATGGTGTGTTTGCATGCATTATGAAATGGTGATAGATGTTGGCGGAAGAAAACGACCTCCATCAATTGTCCCAACTCCCAATTTAGGGCGACAATACCACAACAAAACGATAATCATTGTTCCATCTGACTTTTGCCCCCATAACCATACCATTTAGCAAAAACGACCCCATTTGTTTTTCATTATTTTACAATGTAGTATTTGTTAGCTGTTAGTTGATTGTGTCAATTAGAGGGTATAAATAGTTGGTAATATTACCTATTGTAGAAAAGTGTTTGGTAAATTAGATGTTAGCTGATAGCTGTTTGGTATAATTTCTTTTCTCAAAAAGCTAATTGAAAAAGTTGCTTGGAGTAACTTTTTGAATTTTAACCTTTTGGAGTTGCAAAAAGCTAATTAATCAAACAATTAATAGTGGTCATAGGCCAATTTTTTACCAAACAGGGCCAATATCAATTTCACTGAGGCTCGAATTCATGATCTTACAAAGAGTCAATATTGGTCCCATTGAGGGGCGAACCCATGATCTCCTATATAGAAAAATCACTTCGTGTCACTAGACTACAAGATCATTGGCGCAAAAGCATGTTCTTATTAATTAAAGGGAAATTGTATTTTGGACCTTCAGTTATATTTGTAGTATATACTTAATCCTTAAATCATATATGCGATCATCTTTAATCCCTAAGTTATACATGAATTGACGATTTTAGACCATTGGTGACTATTTATGCCATCAAGATGCCACTTAATAAAGTAGTTAATGTGGCCATATCATTACGTTGCACATATCTTAGGAGTTAAAGATAATCACACATATAATTCACGAACTAAGTCTATAACAATAATATTAACTGGATGACCAAAAATAAAATTTTTCCTTAATTGGAAACAAATAAATTAGGGTCAAACCCCAACCAAGTTGATCAAGTTGTTGCCTTATTGGTTTGAACTAGTCAACTATGTTTAATCTATGCTGATTTACATCTTTATCCATATACACACTTAGATAATAGTTGTGAATTTTCTTCTATCATTCAAAAATAAATAAATTAGACTCTTTTTTTACAATAAAATTTTAAAATGTACACGAAATTTACTGTCATTTCTCTTTTTCTTTGTGTTTCCCTCCTCATGAGTCATGTGGTCCTTGTATTGTCGTCCCCATTCTTCTGATTCTGATTCTCAATTAAAAATTCGAACAACATATATGTACATACTCATACTTCGATTAAGCCAATTTAATATTCTGCTGTCCTGCCACAAACAAAAATTAGGCAAGGAAAATTAAAATTATAAAAAAAAAAAAAAACAAAACAAAACAAAAAAAAAAAAAACAGAACAATCATTCATCGGATGTCTTGTCTTATAAAACATCATATCAAAAGTCCATTGCTGTGCTTGTGTGAGTATAACTTCTTCTATAATTATATTAGATTAGATTTGCTCCATTCTAGTTGGATTAATTATTATTTTACTATAAACAAACGTATGTTGATTTCACTATAATTACTTTAATACACTAATCAATAGTATATGTAAGTGTGTAACCATACAAAAAAAATATATATTTTAATTTACGATAAAAGTCTAATGATCATAATGTAGTAAATCAATTTAAATTATTCATGATTGACCAGTTCAAATCTATAATACCAACAAAATATTATACTAGTCCTTATTAAGATTGTTCTATTAATCTAATTTAATTTGATTAATAAAAAAATATAATACTTCGAATCTTCGATAATGAAAGAGAAATTGTATAGAATAAATACCCATAGTATCATACATTTTCAAGTTGAAGATTGAATATGCATCAATCAAAAGTGATGAAGTTGACTTGGAATTGACACTAGACTTTTAATGATTTGAAACTGAAATTAATTTTTAAAAATAACAAAATAAAAGAGTGTTACTCCTATTTGTTTATACATTAACCCTATATGAACTTTTTTTTTGGTCCCATTTTATATATTTAAAAATTTGTAAAGTGTGAATTAATATTAATATCTTTTATATTTAATACGGAGTACCATTTTAAAGTAAATAATGAAGACTTTGAGTTATATGATAACACGATACTTGATACAAACTCAAAACTTTCTCAAAGCTTTTAGTTTGTACTTAGTACAAGAAACACATGTGTGGATAAGACACTTTCTAATTATTCAATCTAATTAATACAAGATGATAGAACTTATGCATGTATTGTTTTTGTTTTTGTTTTGTGCGCTAACTAATTTAATATTATGAATAAAATCCATATACGTAGAAATTCAGTAAGGGTGTGTTTGAAAACTCGGAAAATGATTTATGAAAATCATTTTTCTGGTTTTCAGTACTTGAGAAGGGTGAAAATTTAAAGTCAACAGAAAATGACTCCAGTCGAGGGGAAAATAACTTTGTTTCCTGAAAAATAACTTCCCATCTTTTTTGGCGAAGTCATTTTCTAGATCCACACTGCTTCTTCTTCATGGCTTCTTTCGCAACTTCATCCTCGGCTTTCTTTCCGCGAGTGCTTCCTTGGGCATCCCAGTGTCTACCTTCTTCCGCCATCTTATAATTTTGATTTATTTTTTTTACTTCTAGTGGCGGACCTCGACCATCGGAGACGTTTCCGACTAAAACCAGTACTCTATTTTTTTCTCTGTTATTTGGATAAAATAACTCGGTAAAATATAGATATTATCAAATAGTTGTTGTCAAATCTTTTTTAGTTTATAACAATTACAATTGTAATTATACAATCATGCTCATATTTCATAAAATGAACCAAACACACAAAAACAATTTTTTTTAAATGCGGCCAAACACGGAAAATTAAAATTTTTTCTGAAAATGACTCATTTTACTGATTTCTAAACACACCCTAAAGTACAAATTCGTTAAGAGTTATACAAATATTAAAGAACCCAAAATAAATTAAAAGTTAGTTCAAGTTTTAAATACGAAGTAATAAACATAACAAGGGGGGAAAAATGATAATGATTTTTTTTTTTTTTTTGAAAAAATAATTTTATCACAGAAAAAAAAACATTCTGTACAATGGCGGCCAAAAGAAGGAAAGAATGAAGAAAAACAAGCACAATGCCAGCAAGGCTATACTATACAACAATTAAATAATGATATTTTCGTTTTCAAAAAAATAATGATATTTTCAACTTCAAAATTGCTAAAGTTCACTTTGACACGTATTATCCCACTTAATAATCAGATTATTATTTTCAGATGTATAATAAAGTCATCATCATTTATTATAAATTAATAATAATAGTGGCAATTCAATTACAAAGATATATTTTTAAATTAAAATAAAATGAAAGAAATTGTGCATTTAATAATTTTGAAAAACTTCTTCAATACCTTCTTTATTTTGGCTTCTTCAAATTAAAGTGGTGTACTATTAACTTTCTTATGGGAGGCAACCCCTTTGATACACAATGACACAATGAAGGTAGACCTTTGAAAAGAAAAAGTATGCATAAAATCTCACAAGAAAGAGAAATAAAATTAATAATTCACTAATCTAATCAAATAATATTGTTATGATTTGAAATGAAGCTATAGAATCTACTCAAATACAATGAAAAATGTGCTGAATGAAGAACAAATAATAAACGCTTTTATTATGATTTTTTTATTCTATCTTCACTTATATCTCCGTAAAATATTAAACAGATATAATAGACATTGCACTTTGAAGAGAAACAAAAAATAATTACTACTTTATCTTGAAAGGAAAGAAACAAAGTAAGTCTACATAATTTTAGATTTAACATTGTTATCATCATAAAAGAAAAGAAAAAAAATCATGTCATGTGTCACTTTTTTGTTCCTTATTTTTCTAACCTGATTAAAGTGACTAAAATATTGTCACATATTTTACTTTTTTGAAAGAAACCATGTAAGAAAATGAATTTGATAAATTCTTATTTTTAGAAGGAAAAAACCTAAAACAACATCCCTAGGGGATTTTGAAAGGTTTTTTTAGGTTGTAATGTATAGGTAGAGGAGATAGAAGATCAAAATTATTTGTAGGAGAGATGTTTGTTTGTTTGTTTTTGTTTTTATTTTTGTTTTTTGTCTCAACAGTGGGTCCCACCTAAAAAAAACACAACGTTCTAGTGCGTGTGAGGCTTACTATAAGCGCTCAGTCGGACGCGTGCACTACACACGTCGAGTTGGGTGGGTGCACTACACTCACCTTGTCGGGCGCATGCACTACACACTCTCGCTCGGCGCATTAACATAGTTTTTTTTTAAAAAAAAAAAAAATCATAAGCGTGGAATGATAAAATGGTCACATCAGAGTCAGACTTGGCTATGTTTGACCAGATCTGTGAAGAAGCACTGAGTTCATCCAACAACTTCGGCTTCAAATTTATAAAACAGTCCGCGATCCAAATTTTCTATAACATTGTAAGAAAATTTATTTCTGTCTGATTGTAAAGAATGCACTGTCATTCTAACGATCTGTATTGTAAACATTTCTGTTTATGATTAATGAATTAGCCTTTTATTAAAAAAAAAAAACTCATTTTTCTTGTTTATTTTTTCTTTCTTTTTTACATAATATCTTAAAATTTGTGCAAAAACTTAATTATTGAGGATGCTATATATTACTAAGTTTATTCGTACTACAATTTTCCACCAAATTTGTTTATTATTTTTTTCCGGACAGTTGAAAATATACATAATTAGTATTGAGTATTGACGTATGTGCCTCACATTGGTGGTGACAAGTTTTGAAGAAAGAGGGCAAGAGGCGGTCCACTCCAAACAGTCAAAGTTGAGGCTGGAAGTGGACCCCACCGACCCATTTCTTTCTCTCTCTCTCTCATTTATTTTAACTATATGTAATAATATCCTTTCGCAACTTTTCGTTTGCTTCTCTCCACCTTCCACACTCTACTCTCATTTCCCTTCTCTCTCACTCACTTTAATACTATCGGTTTTCAGCGAATCCATAGATCGGAGACGCAGCGACCACTTCTCCGTCAACTATCTCGGTAAGCTCTCTCTCTGTTTCATATTTTCCGGTAATGCCATAGTTTCTGCATTTATTTGAGCTTTTTTTTTCTTAGCCTTTTTTGTAGCTGATTGAGCCGATCTTTAGATCTGAGCTTGTTGTGTTTTCTGTAGCTCTGATTCAAGTGAATGTAGTGTTTGATGTCGTGATTCGAGTCGCATTTGTGTTAAATGAGGTTCCGGAGCGGTGATTTTTCAGTTGCTGTGTTCACTTGCGGTTTCGTGTTTGAGATTTGATTGCATTCATTTTAGTAACCGCTCACTACTTTTCGTTGCCTCTGTTGTTCGGTTGAAGTAAAAATGAAGTTATTTATTAGTTGAGCAGGGCGCTAAATCCTCGAGCGACGGAATGGAGAGGTTTATGATTTAAATGATAGTTGTGAGAAATGAAGGTTCTGGAGCTGACGAGTTCTGTTTGCTCTGTAGTAATACGTTTTAATCTTGATAAATGTTCCTCACTTTGGATACCTCAAATTTTGTGTTACTACAGTAATTTGTTTTTTGATACTATATGATACTATTGTGATTACTTTCTGACACTATCTTTTAAGATTAAGTTATGGCATATTGTATCGAAATTGTAGTAACAAAAGCTAGAGGTATCATACCTTAAATTAACCAGAGAATTCTTATTCTGCTTTGTTTTCTTGCCAGTTTCCTGTTTAAGCTTTGATTGCTTTTATTTTTTAATGTCTTTTTTACTTGTATAGAGCATTTTTTTTGGTTGAAGTGAAAACAAACTTATTCATTAATAAAGTAGAATATGAAAATCCTTGAGCAATGAAAAACTAGTGGATTTTCTTTTTCAATCTCACAATATTTGGATCATCTGTATGAAGTAACAGATCATGGCAGCGGCGGATGCTCAAAGTCTTCTTCTTGGAGAAACTTCATGTGGTTCTTTACTGCAACAGCTGCAGGTAGAAATGTAGAATTCTTATTTTCTAATATGTATTACTGTTTCAGTCATTTCAGCATTTTATTTGGGTGCTGATAAAAGTTTAGTAGATGACTGTTTACTCTCTGCCATAAGCCCATAACATGGTAATTAAAAATTAAGTTGTCTTTGTGTAGCAAATTTGGGATGAGGTTGGTGAAACTGATGAAGAGCGAGATAATATGCTTCTTCAGTTAGAACAAGAGTGCTTGGATGTGTACAAGAGAAAGGTTGATCAGGCTATGACGTCAAGGGCTCACCTTCTGCAGACACTGGCAGATGCCAAAGTTGAACTTGACAGACTTCAGTCAGCATTTGGGGAGAAGACATATGCTGGAATTGTGTGTGGCTATGTTTAAGATTTGATTTGAATAGTTCATCCTAAATTTTGAACTATCTTCCAATGCAGATGGGAATTTACTAGATTTGATCTAATGTTTAATGAGTCTTGTATTTGCAGCCTGAGAAGACTTCAGGAACAATCAAGGAACAACTTGCTGCTATAGCACCTGCACTAGAAAAATTGTGGACTCAGAAGGAGGAGAAGATACAAGAGTTCTTTGACGTACAATCACAGATACAGAAGATAAGCAATGAGATTTCAGGCAATAATGAGCAGCTGGAGAGTCCAACAGTGGATGAGTCTGATTTGTCACTCAAAAAGTTAGATGAGTTTCATGCTCAGTTGCAAGAACTTCAAAAAGAAAAGGTGAAACCAGTATATCATAGTAAGAATTTAGTTACTTCTGACTATAGGTAAATCTCAGTTTTAACAAGCCTTTTCACTCTATGTTGTTGTTCAGAGTGAGAGGCTGCACAAGGTCCTTGAATTTGTGAGCACAGTGCATGATCTTTGTGCTGTCCTTGGGATGGATTTCTTTTCTACCGTTACTGAAGTTCACCCAAGCTTGAATGATTCAACTGGTGTACAATCAAAAAGCATAAGCAATGACACGTTATCAAGGTTGGCAAAGACAGTCTTAGCTCTAAAGGAAGATAAGAGGCAGAGATTGCATAAGGTAATTATTTTATATTGTATGATTAAACACCTAGAGTTTGTGATGAGTATTGAACCAAGGCTGTGCTGCATTCTCTTAAAAGAATGTACTGTGATGTTTTGGTCTGTCATCTTGCATGTCTTATGTCTTCTTTTCCTTTGAAATGCATCCTAATTTGCTGTGTGTGCCACTATCTGCAGCTACAAGAATTAGCCACACAGCTAACTGACCTTTGGAATTTGATGGATACCCCTGAAGACGAAAGGAGTTTGTTTGATCATGTCACTTGCAACATATCAGCTTCAGTGGATGATGTGAACATTCCTGGTGCTCTTGCTCTAGATGTGATTGAGCAGGTACCGTGCGACATACTTCATAAAAACCCATTGCATTACAGATTACTAAGTAAGATCTGATTATCTTCAAAAAAAAAAGAAGTAAGATCTGATTATTACTAACTTTTCTCTTTCTGATCAAGGCTGAAGTGGAAGTTGAAAGACTTGATCAGTTGAAAGCTAGCAAGATGAAGGAGATTGCTTTTAAAAGGCAGACTGAGCTCGAAGAAATTTTTGCCCTTGCTCACATTGAGATTGATACCGAAGCTGCTAGAGAAAAAATCCTGTCACTAATTGACTCTGGAAATGTTGAGCCCACAGAGTTACTGGCTGACATGGATAATCAGATACTGAAAGCAAAAGAAGAGGCTCTGAGCAGAAAAGATATATTGGATAAAGTTGAGAAGTGGATGTCTGCTTGTGAAGAAGAGAGCTGGCTCGAAGACTATAATCGGGTGCAGTATACTTACTATCATTAGCTTGTTATACCTTTGTGTGCATGTTGATAGAACTCAATTCATCTATAACTTTGTCTTTCTGCAACAATGCTCAGAGCTCCTTAAAATGTTTGATTATCCTGTTCCTACAACATGATTCTTTCCAAAGTTAATGCCTTTGTTTTACTGCCCTTTAATTATTCCCAAAGTAAACATCTTTCACTCAGGGTCCTTAGACCTTAATTTGCTATAGAAGTTTGTAATTTTTAGCACTGATGTCTTTCCTTAAGGCAGTGGTCAATAAAACATGCTGTTTTTCTTATAAAGAAGAAAAAGGATATATGCACTTTTTTGTTGCATAGTAGTGAACAGAGTAACATTTTCTTGGAGATTATGCTGTTTATACGGTGCTATTGCTGGATTGTGGAACAGGATGATAACAGGTACAATGCAAGCAGAGGTGCACACTTGAACTTAAAACGTGCTGAAAAAGCCCGGATTTTGGTCAACAAAATTCCAGGTACATTATCAGGGAATAATATCAAACATGTAAAACTTATCAGTCTGAATCCAATTTTATTTGGATTGTTTGAGCTGAAAGATGAATTAGGTGTTTGATATCTGTTTTATTATGTCATGGACTTTCAAGCTGCTCTAATTATTTATTGGCGCTTCAATGAAATATTTGAAGTCAAAAATAATTCCTTATATGAATTACTTATATTCTTCTGAGCAGCTACTAATGACCTACAATGCATTGATTTACTTGGGTAGCTGACAAGTCCAAAAGTTTAGGATTTTCATCATTTATCAAACTACTAGTTGTTTCTGCAAAGACCTTCCTGCTCAATACTTCACCTAGCTTTCAGAGATAATATCTTGCTTATATTCTTTTTGTTTATATAGCTCTTGTTGAGACCCTGATCAATAAAACTCGGGCATGGGAACAAGATCGTGACTCAACGTTCACCTATGATGGTGTTCCTCTGCTTGCTATGCTAGATGAGTACATGATGCTTAGGCACGACAGAGAAGAAGAGAAAAGAAGGTTGAGGGTAAGTCCAATTCAACTTGAGTCTGGCATCTTTCACCTCTTATATTATTATTATATCTTCTCTTGACCTAAGCAAAGCATGATAGTATGTTACTGATGCACTATGTATGTATAATGCTTTTTGCATCTCTAGGACCAGAAGAAGTTTCATGAACAGATAAACAAAGAGCAAGATGGAATGTTTGGTTCTACACCAAGCCCTGCTCGACAACTAGGCACAAAAAAGGTGGTGGGTCCCCGAACAAACGGGAGTGGCAATGGAACCGCCAACAGGAGGTTGTCTCTTAATTCCCATCAAAATGGTTCCAGGTCAACATCTAAAGATGGGAGGAGAGAGAGTGCAAGGGCCGCAGTTCCTTTGAACTATGTTGCCATATCAAAAGAGGACTCAACCTCCCACATTTCCAGCAACGAGCCTCTTCCAACTACTCCATAGTCTTCGACGAGCAAGAGAGATCTATCTGCATATGTTTATACCTTTGCAATATCATCAGTAGCTTAGTTACTGTAGTAGAGAATACGTATTTGAACAAGGGACTTGGAAGTATGTAGACAGTAATTTGAGATTAGAGACTTGTGTAGCTGTTTGTGGTGTAATGATAATTGCTATGGAGTCTTTAAATAAGTGAGGGGTAAACTACATACTACCCATAGATCTTGTGGTCTGAGAACTTACAGATTAGCCCGTTATGCTAACACGTTTCCCATTCTGATTTTACTTGGCTGGTTACTTTGTAAGATAGTGATAAATTCGAAGATTAGATTTAGCCTACATTCACAAGGTTAAAAAATGGTTGATAATTCTGTTCCACTAAATTTAGCTTATTAATTTTATGGACTATAGTTATGAAGTTAATTTGGCTGGTTAGAATAGTAATAAGCCACAGTAGTTCAGGCTTGAGGACAACAATATGGCTCTAGCAAGCTAATTACATATTTATTTATTTTAAAAATGGATGAACCAAATTATTTGTAATCAGCTAATTACAATTTTAATTTTTTTTGACTGTTTGTCAATAACCTTGTGGTCAAGTAGCATCAAATTGCTTTTCTATATGGGAGGTTGTGAGTTTGAGTTTCAGCTGAGACAATATTGGCTCAAGCTAAATCATTCTTTCTATTAATAAAAATGTTTTTGACTATTCATTATTCTTTTATTTGGTGGATAATTTAATTAAATAATATTAATGAGAGATTCTAGAAGTACATACAGAAAACTATTTTCTTATTGTTATTTTAGATTAAAAAAACTCCGTAACATATTTAAAATAATTAGAACTTTTTTGAGTACTATTAATTTTATTACAAAATAATATTTGTTCTATATTTTTTTTATCATATCAAAAATTAATACTCATTTGAGATCTTCTTGAGAGGCGGAGAGCCACATAAGTCCTCATTTTTGAATGCTACTGACTCTATTATAATGTAGTATCTGTTCATATAGTTTCTCAAATAATAATGCTTCCCTGAGACTCAAACTTACAATCTTTCAAATGGAAGTTCAACCATTAGACCACATAGTCTTGGTTAGAGGTTATATATTAAAAAAAAAATTTTAAAATAAAATCAATTGATTTATTGGGGAATCTCTATCCAACCAAGTAACCAATTTGATGGGCATTGAGACAAAAGAAACGAGGTGTAAAACTGTAAATGCAATTCTAATTCGATATTGGATTAGTCATTAAGTAAAGTATTCCAAAAACGAAAATGACGAAATATCAGAATCGTGATAATCATACGATCAAAACATAAAAAGAAAAAGAACAACAGTGATATCGGCGAAGGAGAAAGGAGTATTGAAACACATTTGAACTGACGCGATGGCGGCGGAGACCGAGCCGGCGAAGTTGCTACTACCTTACCTCCAAAGAGCCGATGAGTTACAGAAACACGAACCTCTCGTCGCCTACTACTGTAAGTCTCTTCTCCCAAACTCCATAAACCCTAACTCTTTCGCGATCTTCTAAATTAAGGTCCCTCGCGTGTTTGAATTTGATGCGTTTTGCGGTTTTATGATGATATGGTTGATGGATTTTTTGTTCAGGTCGGTTGTATGCGATGGAGCGGGGGTTGAGGATTCCTCAGAACCAGCGTACAAAGACCACCAATTCAATCCTTGTCTCTCTTATGAATCAACTCGAGAAGGTCTTTCCTTATTTTCCCTTTTTTTGCTGCGTATCTTCTTTATGAACTCTTCTTAGTGTCAATTGGGCTTATACGATTGTGTCTCTAAACTCCAAGTTATGTATTATTGGCTTAATAAAGCTAAAATGTATTGCACAACTCATAATTTACTAATCATTGACAAACATGTAGAAAGTGGAATATTGAGTATACAATCTAATTCAAAAGCCTTAACCTCAACTAGATCACTTTGTATCCTCGTTTTTTAAGTGTTTTTTGGATAAAGTTGTACACTTGCTGTTTTGTACTGTCCTGTGGCCGGGCAAATTCAAGGTATGGTGTTTCTTTGCCGCGAAGGGGTGGGTTAACATTTTATTTTCAGCCGACTCTGCTTATTGGGTTAGTTTTCTGTTGTTTGGAACTGCTTGATGCTGTATTAACTTTGAAATAATAGTGAGCTTGAGCGTTTGGTGTTTATTGTTCTTGGGCAAATTTTTGGCAGCTACCTATACTTTTATTGACTCTACATTTAACAAAACTTATATTCTAAATTGTAAAGATTTGCACTTTATATTTTAAAAATGGTAACTGACAATAATTTAGTTAACCTTTCCATTAAATATGACTATCATGTGCATTTAACGTGTCTTTATTAAGGGTATATGAACCAGTTTGTTCAGTAAACATTAGTGAACAACTTATATTTTACGGAGTAACTATTATTAATCTTAACAATCCATACTTAAGTAAGGTTATGTTAGTTATTAAAAACTACATTTAACATAATGCACATTAAATTTCAAACACAATTAACAAATATTTGTAAAAATGCTTTAAAATAATAAATCATGACATTAAATATTATCCTATGTTAATTGTCAAAAACAAATTATCTTATCAAAAATTATGTTGTTATATTTTAAGATTAACCATTTTCTCCTTAAAATTACATGTTGAACAGTATACCCATTCCCAACTGTTTTGTTTATTAAATATGATGATGATTTTATTGGTGCGTAACTCCATAATCTTAAAAACATAATGCTTTGTATGCACTTAGCAAAATTAAGCCATAATAGATTAAAAACTAATCTTAATTATGTTAAAACATTTTTTTTATAATGATTGAAATATAAGGCCACATGGTGTAGAAGTGTTTTTATTTGAATGGTTCATGTACCTTTAATGAAGATATATCATGATGTCAAATGCAAATGGTAGTTATATTTAATGAAAATGCTAATGGAATTTGTTGTTTGTAACTATTTTGAAGTATAAGGCTATCCGTATCCCTGAAATACTCTCTCACTTTCTAAAGTGGACCCTTACCTCCACATCATCAAATTTGCAATTCCTTCACTATTTTTTATACATCTCTACAATACTCTCTCACTTTCAAATGCGGTCCCACTTTCACATCACAAATTCACTATTAATGTATTTTTGCAAGCTTGCAAAACCTTGGCATTAAAACAAAAGGGAAAAATATTTTTGTTTTTTTCCACCTCACCCTGAAAGTGGTAAACTCTCATGGTTGAGGATAGCCTAAGTTGCACATATAAGTGGTTAAGTGTGAACTATGAAGTGAGTGTAAGTACAGGTTGTTACCTAAAATTTACCCACCATTCTTCGTTTTCGTGTCTATAATCCTTGCATCTATCTCTGTACAGGATAAGAAGTCGTTGCAGTTAGGACCTGATGACCATTTACATTTGGAGGGATTTGCTTTGAGTGTTTTCGCAAAGGCAGATAAACAAGATCGAGCTGGACGAGCTGACTTGTAATATATAACTTTATCATGACTTGTGGTTTTCAATTTTTTAATGATAACTCTTATAATTAATTTATCATTTCTAAATAATGTTATGCAGATAGAGTGCTACTGTTGAGATGGTCATGTTTATTGATCCTTGATCTTCTTTATTTTTCTTAATCTTGTATGTGCAGGAGATGTAGCCTGTGGTGTAGTTTATTAGTTTTATCTTGATGTACAGTGTTCAGTGTGTCTTCTTCTCTGATCTCATGAAACCCTAATCTTCATTGTTCGTTTTAAATTTCTGGGATTTTACAGGAATACTGCAAAGACTTTTTATGCTGCGAGCATATTCTTTGAGATTATTAATCAATTTGGTGTACTTCAACCTGATGTGAGTTTCATTATATAGCTATTTTCATTATGTAACTTCTATGCTCGCCTTTTTGGTGTTTGGTCCGGTTTTTGGTAATGAGTTGGTCCCGGAAATAACCACAATCAAGATTCAATTCTATATGGAACTATTTTGCTTAGTCAAAGATGACAATACAATGCAACAAAAGCGAATAAATTCTTTGAGCTGCCTTTATTAATAGCCATCTGCAAATTTTACTGGACAGTTCCTAGCAGGCTATGTTATTTTGCTGGCCCTCCCCTCCCTCATATCTTTGAGAGCTTGCTATTGTTTTTTACTCTACTACTGACTCTGTTACAATGCAGTATCTGTTCATAACTACTTTTTCAACCTATTGGTTTTTTACTTATTTGTACTGATATGTCATATTTTATTTGTCCCCAGCTCGAACAGAAACAGAAGTATGCAGCATGGAAGGCTGCAGACATAAGAAAAGCTTTGAAAGAAGGAAGAAAGCCTGTTCCGGGACCTCCTGGTGGTGAAAACGATGCTCCAGGCGGTGGATATGTATGATCAATATTATTAACTAGTTCTTAGAGAAGTTCAGTATTGTTCCTCGACATGATTTTTAGCTAATAAAATTTAACTTTATGATATTTGCAGGATCTCGAACCTAGCAGAAGTGATCCCTCTGTCACACCCGCAACAGAATCTAATGATAATTCACAGCATTTTTCGAATAAACAGCCTTCTCCAGATACCATGCCTCCACCACCTTCCTCCCATGCTCCATCATTGCCTCCTTCATATCGTACCGATGATTATCCTTCTCATAACAGTTACCAATCTCATAATTTCCAGCAACCCCCTCCAAATAACAGATCCGAAGATGATTATCAGTCTCATGGTTTCCCTCAACCCCCTCCAGGTAACCGATCTGAAGACGATTATCAGTCTCATAGTTTCCCTCAACCCCCGCCTAGTAACCGATCTGAAAATGGCATACCCTCCTACGATTATCAATCTCATAATTTCCAACCTCCTACAAGTCACAGTTCTGAGAATCCTAGTTATCCTCAGCCCTACAATCATCAATCTTACAACATGCAAGAGCCCCAAACACACCTGCCACAGAACTATCCTCCACATGACATACCCTCCTACTCTTATCCCAACTTCCAGTCTTATCCTAGTTTTGCAGAGAGTAGCCTTCCTTCCGTCCCTTCTCATTATCCTTCTTACTACCAAGGCTCCGATGCTTCCCTTTCCACGATGCCGGCTTCTAATGCCACAACCCATCCATCAGCAGCCTCTCAGTACAATCCAAGCGACAGAAATGGGGCCACTCCAGAAGCTGCTGCTGCTGCGCCCAGTTTGGCCAAGAAATACCAGTATGACAGCAGTTACGAGCCTCCACCGGAGAAAATTTCTGAAGCACATAAGGCTGCAAGGTTTGCAGTTGGAGCTTTAGCATTTGACG